GGCTTTTTTCGTACCATTGCCACCGACCGCTGTCGGGTTTCTAGGAAAGAAACCTACGTCGCCGGGCGACAACTAAAATCCAGTTTATATTTTATTATAATCGATCCTGACGAATAAATGAATTTTACAAATGAATGAATTTTATAAATGAATGGTTTTTGCTGCCGAATTAATATATTTCAAGGCAGATGACGCATCTATTCGATATTTTTATTCGAATAGTTTTCGACAAATGTTTTCTTACTAGCTATCGAATTATTCGAATGAATTGCAACTATCGAATGTTTCGATAGTATTCATTCGATAGTTCCCACTACTACTCCATACCGTCCCGACCTAAGTCCTAATGACTTTTTTACCTTTCCAAAAATTAAGAATGAACTTAGTGGTCAAAGGTTCCAGTCCCCAGAAGATGCAGTCAGCGCCTTGACTACCAATTTTAAAGGTACCAACAAGCGAGTGGAATAACTGCTTTCAGAATTGGTTCCATCGGATGCAAAAATAAATTTATAAATTCCTCTATATGAAAAATATAAAAGACAATCCTCGTATAATAATGTCAAGGAGACAATAATAATATTGTCAAATATCCTATATATTATCTCCACATCATAATATATTCGTTTACGGTCCGTAGCGCGCGATAACGTCAAACTTGGACCACCCTCTATACCAGAACCGTATCTCCAAACAGAACCGTATCGCCTAATAGGTCCGGACATCTATAATAATAGGTTTATAAGTTAATATAAACGATTCTATTTGTATTCTTGAGACAATTCGAGCCCGATGTCGGTGATGTGGACGTTGGGCGTTGAAATATTCAACGTCGCTACTCTTGTTAGGCCACCACGTAACTGATTTATATTTGCCCTTCGGCGCAATTGGTGGAGTAAATCAATTTCGTTAACGAATTAAATAAACAGAAAATGCTCTTTCTTGTCTTCGGAGTCATCGTCAAAATGAGTTATGGAAAGGGATTTTTGCTACTTATTCTCGAAACGTAATTTAGTGCGGGAAGGAATCTCTCTAATTTATCTACAACATACCAAGATGTCAGATGGGACTGAGAATGTTGGAAGTATGTAATTATGTGTCCAATACTGATAGGTTAAAAAATAGCTCTATGAAGTAATTATATAGGTGAATAAATTAAAAACTTAAAAAGTGCTGTGAATTTCGCAAGAACATCTATGTGTCATCATCGACTTTAAAAAAGCATTTGATCTGAAATCGTATAACGTAGACAACTATGACATGCGCCTTTTAGTAACCTGTATTACAATCAAACTACTACTATTATTAGGGTCGATGAAGGAACTACCAAATGACATCTCAATAAAACGAGGAATAACCATCCCAATAAACAAGGGGTGTGATTTGTCACCGTTATTGTCAGACAGAAGGATGATCAATGGCACAAATGCATCGTAAACTGGAGGCCCTGGGAGAATAGAAGAAGTAGAGGAAGACCTCAGATGAGATGGGCGGACGATCTGAGGAAACATGCAGGCACAAGATGGATGAGCATGGCGACAGAGAGGGAAGAGTGGAAGAGATTGGGGGAGGCCTATGTCCAACGATGGACCGAAGAGGCTAAATAGATAGAGATAGATTATTCAATTACGTTAGTATCCAGAGAACATTTTTATCGAGGCTTTATCCGGCAGAATAGAAGGCGTTAAAAATAATGGCAAGGTAATAAATAAGGTAAGGTACGCAGTGACACCGCCATTGTCGCAGAAAGTATGGAAGACTTGCAAACGTTGCTAGATAGGGTTCATGGAGCTAGTTGCAAATGGGGTATTAATATAAATATGAAGAAGACGAAATGGATGTTTGTGGGTAAAATACAAATTAATCCAATCCCGATAAATATCAACGGACACAATATTGAACAAGTACCATATTTTAGATATTTAGGAAACTGGCTAAATAGTGAAAACACATATGACGAAAAAAATGGAATACCACGCTTACTAATAGAAACCTGTCATTGGAAACTCGATTACGAACATTCCGTTGTTACATATGGTCCACTCTTCTTTACGGATGCGAGACATGGACGCTAAAAGTCAAAGAATATAAATAAAATAGAAGTCTTTGAAATGTGGTGCTATCGGAGAATCCTTAAGAAAAGTAAAGATTTCAGTTTTGTTGCCAACGTCGCCTTTTTGTTGCCAGCGCTAATCTGGACGGGGTCTACTTTGTTTACGCGGAATCCGAACCGCGGTCCTCGGCCATGTCATGGTCAATGGCCTACCGACTTGAGCAAGTGACTAAATCGACTCTTACTCACGAGATATCCGATCCGGCCTCAAACCGGGCGGCGTCGGCGTGAATGAGCAGTGTGTGTCAATAGATTTTACACTTTCGCCTTTTTTTAGACAACAGCACGATACAGAGTTTCGAACCGGTCACCCGTCCATCCACTAGTATCACCTTACATCGCTTAACTTCGGTGTTCTAATGGGAACCGGTGTTTCGACGTAGCTGGTTCGTTGCCCTGAATCCTTAAGATTTCTTGGACCGAACATACAAGCAACGAACAAGTTCTTGGACAGCTAAGTAAAGATCGGGAACTCTTAACAACCATCAAAGCCAGAAAGGTTAGCTACTTCGGACACATAATGCGTGGCACCAATATTATATTCCTCGTTTGATCATTCAAGGAAAAATCGAAGGTAGAAGATGGGTAGGTTAAAAGAAACTGTCATGGGTGATAAATATACGGAACTAGATCGGTCTGGGGGTGGAGAGGCTGTTTCATGTAGCAGAAGATAGAGAACTCTTCAATGAAATAGTCATAGAGAGAAGAAGAAATTAAAAACAAAACTTACAATGTACCGAGTTAAACAGGTTACAACAGAGATACCTTAGACAACTCTTAAGAATCAAATGGTTCCATCATGTTTCAATGGTATCGCTCATAGAAAAAACTAGCTGCGACAGCGCCTAAGTCATAATTACTAAATCTCGCTTAAGATGGGCTGGTCACGTACCTATGCAGGATGCAAGAAAACCGCCTACCGAAATCTCTTCTTTACGGTGAGCTTGTAGACGGTAAGAGGAAATCGGGTGGACAACCCAAAAGGTACAAGGATATTTTCCACGAAAACTTTGAGGGGGTAAAAATGCAGAATCAGTGGGAATAAACAGCGCACAATAGAACGTAATGGAGAAGAATTGTAAACTCAGTTAACGACAACCAAAAAGTAAAGAGGCAACAAAGTAATGAGATTTTTGATTTTCCGGAGTGCGGAAGAGAGAAAACATAACGTATTGGGCTTTTCAGTCACAAAAAAGCTCATGAAAGGAAACGCCTTGCGTAACCATCTTCTAATGCCTGTAAAATACTCGTCAGTGAGTAATGACGAGTATCTCATATTATAGGAAACCGAAATAAGATCATCTTCAATGTTAAAAAAAATGATCAAAGAAAAAGTTTGTACAGAATGGTCCATATCGAATTTAGTAGAATGGTTACTTGGTACCGTTCTGTGTACTTAAAAGTCAAACAGATTCAGAGCTAATTGGTCGGTCCCGATTCGTACGTCAGCGGTACTATCGTTAATATAGTTAAAACCTTTTTATTCTCTTCTTTATTATGCGGTACCTCGGATGCATATTTATAAGAGCCAGATTAATGAATAACGATAATAGGGTCTTTTAGAAAGTTTTTCATAATTAATACGAGATATTTAAGACTGTTTTGGGTAAATAAGTTTTCGTAACGATTAATATTTGGATATTCGAATCAATCAAATCAAATTTGTTGAAGATAGTTTAAAATTATTCTTTTTTTTTTTGAAAAATTAACTTTTCAGAGAATACTTTACAAAATTTGCAATTCAAACAACTCTAAAGTAATGTAAATTTTTTCAAATGTACCACAATACACCGAAACACTTTATTTGGGCTAAAGATGGATCAGTATATTCAAACTTTCAGTGAAACCGATGATTGAAAAAATAAAAAGATGCGCAATCTTATGGGCGATCGTGGAACAAAACCTGTCCGAAATGTAGAGTTCGTCTGCTGGATCTGTGTCTATGAAAGGAATACGGACAAAAACATTTAAATAAACAGCAATATATTTTATACGTCGACTTGACGAGTACGTCACCGCAAATCGCTCCGCCCACTCATTTTATTGGCTACCTACTTGCAAATCTGTCGAATTTTTATTGATGGGAAGCGTCGTCTAATTTTTTATGAAAAACATCGAGAGAATATCGTTTCCCCTCTCACGGATACCCCGTAGCCACAGAACGAACAGACGTACTGTAGCTAGCGTTACTGTCAGCCTGTTCGAGATTTAGTTTAGATCTGCACCCCTGCGCGCTGTTATTCGTTTACAGCGCAGCAGATAAAGAATACTGTACCGTAGTTCCGCTTTCAGTCGACAGAGCGAGTGGTTGCCGGAGACAGTGTTGCCAGAACTACTGCTTAATCCATAGATTTACGGATTTTGGGTACAGCTAGTACGTTAATAATATAGATTTTTAAACAATTTAATATAATATTATATGATTAAACAAAGAACGGCGTCAGAGTTGGCTTATAAATGAAGATCGCTGTTATTTCATATGTAAATTATGGCAAATGTCAATAATTATATTCAATACTCATAAAAGAATTTTTATTTTTGTTGTTTATTCTTTGTTAAACACGAATAAATTTTCAATACATAAACGCGGATTTTCATCCAAAAATATTTTCGACAAACGTATTACAGATATTACAGATTTTAATATGACAACACTGTCGCTTTCAGATCCACACCGTCTCAAATACGCCTTCGCTGGCCGAATTAGAGAAAAAAGTGTTTTATGAGTTGACCGCAGAACGATTGGTGTCTCCACCGTACAGCACTTGAGACGTAAGGGGAAATCAAATCAGCCTTGTCACGAATTTGCCCATTAGGTTGCCTATCTTCCGAATTCTTTCAAACAACGGTGAAACTATTTTTGCTTAATAGATAAACTGTTGGTACTTACCGCTCCATTATAGTACCGATCTGTGTTGGTTAAATCGATGATGGTTTTAAGTTTAGGCTCTTGCTTAATCAACATGTCAGGAGTAAACCTGAAACAAACAGTGCAATGAGAAAAATATAACCCCTTTTAAGGCAAATACTAATATTATACATAACAATATGTTATATTATTGGACATAATTTATTAAAATTATTGAAATAAGAGCAACTGTTTTTTTTTTCTGATATAATTATTTATGACCTAAATACAAAATATTTTCATGGTGTCTGTCTGTCTGTCCGTCTGTAACACGATAACTCAAAAACCCCTAAACCGATTTTAACCAAATTTGGCACAAAAATACTGTGGCACCCGAGAATCTGGCCATTAGTTTTTGGTGGGGGTGGGGGGTTGGTAAGGGGGTATGGGAGGGGGTTAAAATTTTTAAAAAATCGTAACTCCAAAATTACAATAGCTAGCGAAACGCGGTTTTCAATTTAAGATTAGGAATAATATTTGCAACAAAATTTGTAATAACATTTTAATAACATGATACAAAGTGATTTTAATCAGTCAAAGTCGCAGTTTTTGAGATATTCCGTGTTTCCGTAGTCCATTTTTGAGAAAATCCGTGTGGAGAACTCCAAACTCCCATCGGACGCGACCCCAGGTGGCGGATAGGGGAAATAACCGCGGACCAAAGTTGGAAAAATTCCTTTACTTTGAAACTAAAAGAACTGCCTACCAACTTTTTATTAACATATTTTAGTATGGGCGGCTATACGTGCCTCCCGGCGCCAATTTTTCGTATTAAACTTTACTCTCTATATTGCAAAATAATAATGGAGTTAAAGGTCAAAGGCAGATTTTCCACAATATATCGATTGTCGCCGACAAATCCTAAAATACCTTTGGGCACACTACAAGACGAGAGGGAAACAACCTAGATAAACTAATAGAACAGAGAAAGGTGGCAGGCAAAAGACCAAGAGGCAGGTCACCTGTTAGATGGATAGATCAAGTAACATCAATACACCTCTACAAACTCTACTAACCGAAGCAATGCAATGCTTGCGACAAACATAGAAAACAAAAGTAAATAGATGTACTTAATTTCGCGAGATCACAATTTCTCGGACATGAGAATATGGATAAGCAGAGACAAAAAGGTATTTCGATACCAATGTGCGAGTGGACGACTGCAAAAATTGCCACTGCCACTGCCGTGTGACAGGGGCAGTTGGCAGGCCTGCCGATAAACTGACGAATCGATTACCGAAGCGCGTAAACCCACGCGCTGAAGCGATTGTTTTCTACCACTGTCGTAGTCCGGAGGCCATCTGCGATGTGCCCCTCGGTCCAAGCCAACCACGATTTATGGTGAAATTCTCGAAATTTAATTGCGCCAACCAAGGGCTCCGTCCGGCGCGGCGGTGAACTTGAAAAGAATCTGTTAATTAACTCTGCCGCGAATGATTAGTTTTTTTCGTTTTTTATTAATTTATTTTGGGGAGGTAAAATTCAGGAAGGAAGCTAAAGACGTAAATAGACGTCAACTTGTGTTTATAGCAAATTTTAGTAAACCAATTTGATGTAAGCCCAAGAGATCGGTTACCCGCATGCCATCGACCTAGATATGTTATTAAATAACATTAATAATTAAACAGTATATTAAAATTTAACAAGCTCGGGTCGATAATCAAGCGCAGGTCACCGAAGTTCGATTTCCTCGTGGTCATAGCCGGGTTAATGTAATTAGATTGCAAACTACACACACCGGAAAAGTCTAGGAATATTACAATTTTATCCAGCCATCGCCACAAAAATACACATATTTTTTTTTATTCTAAACTGTGAATTAAAAAAAAAGATAAAACCATTTTTACTTAATAAAGGGTATGGCCTCCTCTACTGTTCATTACAGCCCTACATCGTCTCTCCATGCTCCTGATCAGGTTGTCGATCTCTTCTTGAGGTAGAGCCTGCCACGCTGCATTCACGGCCCGAACCAGATCCCTACGAGTTTCACGAGGCATACCCATTCTCAAAATTCTTCTTTGGACCGCGTCCCATACGTGCTCGATGGGGTTAAGGTCAGGAGATTGTGCCGGCCAGGGAAAGATGTTTAATTGATGAGCATTGATAAACTCACTTACTACTCTGGCTGTATGAGGCCTGCATTGTCATGCATGAGAATGAAGTTTCTCCCAAAACCATTGGCATATGGTAACACGACAGGTTCAAGAATTAAATCACGATGTGTGATTCCTGTTAGAAACCTTTCAAGAAAAACGAGATCGGTTTTTCGGCCTAACTGGACTCCTCCCCAGACCATAACTGTTCCACCTTGATAAGGGTGCACTTCCTGAACATGATCCAACCGAATAACATTTCCCGGTTCTCTCCATACCCTAAGCCTTCTCGAATCCGGATGAATTCCAAAGCGTGACTCATCCGTGACGAGAACATTGGCCCATTGTTCATTCGACCACTGAACATGATCTTGAGCCCACAAATATCGTACCTCTCGATTTCCTCTCGTTAAGGGTTGAGCTCTCCAGGGTCGTCTGCTTCTTAAGTTGACCTATCTCAATCTATTGCGAACAGTGTCAGGACTAACGGTTACATTATGTGTTTCCTGGAGAATTAAGCTAAGCTCTGGTGCTGTAAGAGTCGGTCGGCGTCGAGCATTTAATTGTAAAAAATGATCTTGCTGAGGGGTAGTAATGCGATGTCGCCCTGTGTGCCTTTCAGCAACATTACCACTTTCACGGTAGCGTGCACTTAATCGCGATATTACACTTTGCGTTGTATTTAATGCTCTAGCTACGTCGATTTGGCGCATTCCAGCTTCGAGCATACCCATGGCCCTTAGCATTTCGTCTCTGTTAAGATGTCTACGCTCCATAATGTCGTTTAATACTAAACAGAGTTATTTGAATGAATTCTGGCCAGTTATCATAAAAACATAGCCAATACAGGTTAAATTCGAACAATTGATGCTAGGTGCTTTTTATACATTTGACAAAAAATGCCCAAACACTTCTGCAAATATCCCAAATTTAGAAATAACTAGTTTCAATCGAAGTAGAAAAAATCGGCCTACAAATATGTGGTTGTTTATTCAAAACATTTATTTTTAACTTTAATAAAATGATATCCCTAGATTTTTCCGGTGTGTGTATTTTGACAACGTAATCGGTGATGACTACGAGGAATAGAAGAATATAAAAAGAGTATGCTGAAGAAAGCGTAGTTGGTCGCATTATGAGTTCAGAGTCAGTCAAAGAGTTGCATTACGAGTTGATAGTTCATAGTGAGTTGATAGTCAAATGGTTAGTCAGAAGACAGTGAAGACCTTGAAGATGTTCCTGTAAGTACTCCTTTCAGCATGCCCTTAGCAAGCCTTGGCATTTCCTGGAATCGTTCTCCTTATATGTTTATCCACACTGTGCATTTTTATTTAATAAATGTATATTTTCTAATGGTTGTTTTAATTGGAAGAGAGAACCTGGTCTAGCGATCCTAGTGAACAACCCCCAAGCTAGTTCGCGACAGTATATTTTGTCTTTTCGCGTATTGAACATAATTTTCTAAAAAACATTTAATTTTAAAATCAAGATATCCAAATCAATTAAAACTTTGCTGGTAATTTTTCTACGGTCTAATATCACGATCCCATCCCAAGTTCGCTCTTCTTCTAGGTCTCTTAATTCCCCGTGGGTACCATCCCGTAATTCTTGTGGTCCATCTGTTGTCCGTTCTTCTTGCTAGGTGTCCTGCTTATTGCCATTTGAGGGATTTGACCCTGTTAATGATATTTATTACCTGGTTTTTTTGTCGTATCCACTCTATTCTTTTACGGTCTCTCTTGGTTATTCCCAGCATATTTCGTACCGTTGAGCGTTGTGCGACCTGCAAGCTTCTGATTCGTCTGTATGATCGAAAAAAAACTACGTCAAGTTAGCTTCGAAATAAGGATCGTTTACATTCCTAATATACTTTTACGTATAAAATGACGGCGTTCTTCATTTCCAACTAGCGTATTGTGTTTCTTCACCGGCATTGAGCCTTATTAATAATCAATTTACTGGATACGGCCTGTAATAATCGGCAATAAATTAAATGCCGTTTACCTTTCCATATACTTTGGGCGCTTCTTTATGAATATTAAAAGCGACGTAATTATTTTTAATCGCCTGCCAGTGGTAATTATCGATTTAAAAAGAAATCCTGAATTTTTTTCCTGGTCTTGTTATCGATCGATTTATCAGGAGCGATCGCCGCGTATAAGGATGATGATCCATTCAACCTTACAAACCCATAAATACGTGTTTTAGGTTGTTCAAAATTCGCAAAACGGTAAAATCTATTTATTTCAGCCTAGTGTTTCGTATTTTTATTAATATAATACTTAAATACAATTAAGCTTCTTTCAGAACCTCGCAATTAGTGGAATAAATTACTTGTGCCAATTAGCGGTAGATAATTTCAATTAGTAGAAAAATTTATCAAACTTTTAAGTTTTCCACTAATTATAGTTCAAAATTTGCGAGAAATGTCATTTTGACCATTGATTATCTTCCGTCAAGAGAAATTGTGGTTAGAAATCAAAAGACTGTTTTATAAGCTAAATATTAAGGTACATTCAGGCTGAGAGCGTCGAGCATCGCGTCGCGTCCGCGTGTCGAAATGGAATCAATTCACTTACTGTTTGACCAGCGGATCTGAAGCTACGGAAGGAATGCGAGAAAAAGAAATCGATATTGCCACGTTTATCTATAAAATTGCAAAATTGCCAGACATGAACTATAAATTTAATATATTTTTATTATATATAATGTGTTTAGCATATATTCTGACCTATCAACTAAGGAATTTTAACGTAGTTCATATTGTTCGATATGTTTTATTTAATAACTTATTTCTTTCATTCTGTATAACCTGCTTATTATGAAAGTTGAAGATTTTTCATGGATATCATTGGCAAACCGGCATAGCCGCGCATGGCCGCCTATTCATCGAACTATGATTGGCGAGAGTACGTCACAGGATTTGTTACCACGCGGTTGCCATGGCTTTTACGCCTTTCCTATTCGCTTGCTTTATCCCCAACTTCACGGTCTCTTCTGAAAAGAGTAGGAATATTGAATACTATTGAAATATCCAGTGGCGGTGTCATTCTTTTGATCATTATTACTTTATTTCATTATTTATACCGGTTATCCTAAACTTTATTCCTATATTTGATAGTTAAGTTGTGTTTTATTGTTTTGTTATCTTGTTATAATGTTTTTCGTTCGTAGTTTATAATTATTAATATCAAGTTTGATCGTATATTTGTGTTTTAAAATGAATAAATTTGTTAAGGGTAAGACGCTACATAGCCAGACAAGAGAAATAATAGCTAATTTATATAGGTAAGTAGAATAATAATAATATAATTATTAGAATATTAAAATTAAATATTGGCTAAAATGTAAAGCACACATTTTACCTAAATATTTTAGCTAAACCAAAATAAATATAAATAAACGTGGATGAAATCTCATTTGGTTTATTTCCTTGTGTTCATAATAGGGTTTGCGACGAAGAAGCTACAGAGAGTTCGCTTAAGTTGCCACTTAAACGTAAACTTGAGCGGATATCTCTTTATACCGGAGTTAGCGTATCGGCTATAAAAAAATTCACACAGAAGATAAAAAAAAGGCTGGAAACTAACCCCGATAAAATGATATCCAGCCCTGGAAAGAAACGACCACGTGAGACTGCTGATGAAAAGCTCGACGACTTTTTCCAAGTGGTCAGGAATTTGATAAATAGATTTTATCTCGAATTCAAACTCGTCCCACAATTAGAAAGTTTTTGCAAAAATTGCAGGAAGAATCCAATTTTCCTTTGACAAGGAAACGCTTAGGGGGTTATTAAAATCAAATGATTTTTTTTGGCGTAAATGTCAAAATAATAGATAAATATTAGTGGACCATTTATATTGCAGAGAGAGATATAAATATATACGCGAAATTCGAAGATATAGCCAAGTATTATCTATTTGGATGAAACATATGGGTAGACAATGACCTAATGCAGGAGAGAATGTCGAGCCTATTATTCGCAAATCGTGGTACATTGTCTTCCGTGATTCGGCATACATTTTTCTAAGGCTGCGTCGTACCATAGAAGACAATGCCAATACGCAGCCCGTTCAGGCAGACAGCGTCGCGTTTGGCGTTGCGCTAGCGTCCGCTGAGCGTAGGGGTTCGAGTTCAATGGGGCGGACGCGACGCAAACGCGACGTGACGCTCGACGCTCTCAGCCTGAATGTACTTTTAGGCTTTCGCTATGGATACAACTGGCTAACGCAAGCTGTTGCTAGGACATTATATTAATTTTAATTGTGTTTTTTAAACATTGTGAATGATCTGTATATGAGATAAAAAGTATAAAGTGTAATTGAAGCCAATAATGTATTCCTCTATAATTGCGAGGTTCTGAATGAAGCTTTATGATCGATAATTTTATATTAATTAAGTATCAATTTTTTTGGCTTTTATAGGAGGGATAATATACAATTTAAATAAATTCATCAAACTTCAAATATTGGATTTAACCAGTTTTATACAGCTTAATTGAGGTATTTATACCTCTATAAATATGTTTGAAATCAGGAAAGTAAAAAGTATCGTATGATCGACTTATATCTAATTTGACCGGCTTTGGAATTTATAAACAAATAATTTATTTTGATAACAATAACGTATATTTACAACTTATTGTAAATATTCGATTCAACAGCTAACAGAATTTTATTGTTAAAAATGTATTTTGAAGTGAAACTTCTTTACGTGCGATGGGAGTAAAAATTGAAGGCCGTGACACGTGACACACGAGATGCGAGAGGAAAAGTGGTAACGATCTAAAATTATACGATCTTCTAATTATAGGTCGATTGAAACCAAACTCGGCATACGACAGACAGACGGAAGTAGAAAGAAGTTTCTTTTTGATAAAATATTTTTATTTTGTACCGGGTGTCCCACTAAGAATAGCTCTCGGCTGTATCTCGGAAAGTATTTAGCCGTAGGGCCTAAATAATTAAAGCGGCTATGAGAAATTGCTGGAAATTATTTTCAAGTTTGTAGAACGGCCGCTAGAGGGCGCAACTGCAACAAAAAATATGAAAATGGAGTTTTTACACAATTTTGCCTAGATAAGGTGTACTATAAGTAATAGCTTCATAATCTTCAGTAAATTTTGAATATTTTTTGTTAGAGCCATTTTCCCCTATCTACCAAAATGAAGTGGTGGGGGAAGGTTAGATCTGTTTTTATTTAAATATGAATAACTCTGGACTGGATGATCGGAATCCAACAAGCGAGGGCTCGTTTAAAAGAGCGTTTCTTGCTCTATATTGCACCATATAAACAATAATAATAAGCTTATGAACTTAGACGCTAGGGATCGTTGTTAAATTGTTATTAGATCAACATTTTGATAGTTTCAAAATGCCTTTATTATTTGAAATAGTTGAAGTTGTTGGCATTTTGAAAAAGCAATCAAAAGATAAAAAACGCTGATAAGACTATCAAAATGTTGATGTAATAAAAATTTGACGTTTATACTATTACGCGAAAAGCAACTTTTTTCCAAAGCCTACCATGACTTCACTGAATCATCATTTACTTGTTCACTGTTACTAATGTCTTAATTATTAGATCTGGTATTATGGTATTCTGGTATTTCGTCGATTTTAAAATAAACTAACTGTTTCTATCTTATTTTTTTGTTAGAATGGGCATAATCAAGAGGGCTACTGATACCGTGTTGTAAAAATAAGGTAATTAAGGGCTTATTTTTTGTGGTATTTATTATAATTTTGCTAATATCTTCGGTTTGAAAGAAGATATCAGGATGCGGTTTTCGCTGACTTTTTAAATTTTTACTACTCTTTACTATGAGCTAAAATTACATATACTATTATATTTAATATTTTTGAAAAAAGGTGCAATGTTTGTTAAATTGTAAGACAACGCCCCCTCGCGTCTACGTTCAAAAGCTTATTATTATTGTTTATATGGTACAATATAAAGTAAGAAACGCTCTATTAAACGAGCCCTCGCTTGTTTGATTCCGATCATCCAGTCCAGAGTTATTCATATTTAAATAAAAATAGATCTAACCTTCCCCCACCACTTTATTTCAGCAGATAGGGGAAAATGGCTCTAACAAAAAATATTCAAAATTTACTGAAGATTATGAAGCTATTACTTATAGTACACCTTATCTAGGCAAAATTGTGTAAAAACTCCAAAAAAAAACATTTTCTTATTTTTTGTTGCAGTTGCGCCCCCTAGCGGTTGTTCTACAAACTTGAAAATAATTTCCAGCTATTTATCATAGACTCTTTAGTTATAAATATTTTTTTTCGCAGCCCCTACGGCTAATACTTTCCGAGATACAGCCGAGAGCTATTCTTAGTGGGACACCTGGTACAAAAATTACACGCATATTGCAACTATTTTTTCTATTTTTTTTTTTCAAATATATAATTCAAATAATTAGTAATATAAATTAGTACATTTATATCCAAAAGTCTTACCATTCATCTCGTGGAAGATTTCTCTGGCACATATTCTATAACAAATGAAAAAATGATGAAATAAAATTCACAACCAAAATACCTAAAATAAATTAATTTTTTAATATTCAAATCAATAATAATTATAATGTACCTTATTAATTAAATTAAAACAAATTCATAACAAAAACATCATAAGAAATAACACGTGTAAAAAAATGTCGTAAACTTAATCACAATCAAATTTTCCAATGCAAAACATTGTAAAAAAATCACTGTTTTGTTGGAAAGAGACATCCGAACATGGTTTAGCATAAAGAACCCATTAGGTTACTAAATAATTCTTTGGCGCCATCTCCAAGGATTACTCATCTCCTTCGTCCCACAGAAAAACAGCCAAAATTTATTTATGACAGTGTCACAAACTACTACAACTGAAATTAATATATCCATTATATTCAATGTATAAAAAAGAAATCTGAATACTTTCATTTTCGAATTTGTGTTTTCGATTAATAGTTATTTTTTATACAAGACGATTGCGATGAAAAAAAATTCACGAGCGTTCACGAGCGACGAAATCGCGAGTGAATTAATTTCGGGAGACGATAATGCAATTTTATCGTGGTGTATAAAACAATATTTTTTCCATAGCCAGTTACGTTTTAAAAAATATTCAGAAATTATTATTTCGAGGAATTTATTACGAGTAGAGAAAATATTGTGCTGAGTTGGCGTTGGTTTCTATGTAATTTGACAAATAAATAAAGCTGTCTCTTTAGTTGTCAGTTTTGAGTCAATATTTTTAATTCTTCTTCGTGTCGATTGCTGATTGAATTGGAGCCAGAAATGGCTCAAAACAAAATAAATAAATTACCAACAGATTCAGGCTGAGGCGACAAACGCCATATCCAAACTACTTCCATTTAAATCCTGAATAACTTATGAAAAGGAATACAAACATTTTCAAAAATGGAAACAATTAAAAAACGTGCGAGAAGAAATAAAGTTTTTAACCTATCCTCGCTGTTAAAGTATCATTTAGGTAATCTACCCTTGCGGTCAAAGTACTATTTTATCTACTATTTTTGATAGATATAAGGCAATTTTAACAGTTGCTATGAAAAAAATATATGATATATGAAAAATATATAAAAAATATGAGTTGCATATTTGAAATGAAACTTCTTACTAACAGCTATTAAATTGAAAGATTTGAAGCAAATGTTAATAAACATAAATAAATTTAAAAAAATATTTTTTTACAGGTAAAAAATTAATTATTAAGCCCTATAACATAGGATACAACATTTTAACGAACAGTGCTTTCCATAAAATCAATAAAATGAAAAATATACGAAATAATATGCATGTTCTGATTTCTTTCGAAAATCGACATCTATGAAACTATGAACCCTTCCTGGACACAAACGGTACATTGTGAGACAGGAAATTGTAGAGAGTAACAAGCCCTATAACATAGGATACAACATTTTACTGAACAGTGCTTTCCATAAAATCAATAAAATGAAAAATATACGAAATAATATACATGTTCTGATTTCTTTCGAAAATCGACATCTATGAAACTATGAACACTTCCTGGACACAAACGGTACATTGTGAGACAGGAAATTGTAGAGAGAAACAAGCCCTGTAACACAGGATACAACATTTTAATGAACAGTGCTTTCCATAAAATCAATAAAATGAAAAATATACGAAATAAAATAAATGTACCGATTTCTTTCGAAAATCGACATCTATGAAAATATGAACCCTTCCTGGACACAAACGGTACATTGTGAGACAGTAAATTGTAGAGAGAAACAAGCCTTATAACATAGGATACAACATTTTAATGAACAGTGCTTTCCACAAAATCAATAAAATGAAAAATATACGAAATAATATACATGTTCTGATTTCTTTCGAAAATCGACATCTATGAAACTATGAACACTTCCTGGACACAAACGGTACATTGTGAGACAGGAAATTGTAGAGAGAAACAAGCCCTATAACATAGGATACAACATTTTAATGAACAGTGCTTTCCATAAAATCAATAAAATAAAAAATATACGAAATAATATACATGTTCTGATTTCTTTCGAAAATCGACATCTATGAAACTATGAACCCTTCCTGGACACAAACGGTACATTGTGAGACAGGAAATTGTAGAGAGAAACAAGCCCTGTAACATAGGATACAACATTTTAATGAACAGTGCTTTCCATAAAATCAATAAAATGAAAAATATACGAAATAATATACATGTTCTGATTTCTTTCGAAAAAATTAATAATAAAAATTAGTCTTTTTGCTTCTCAGGGGCTGCTTTAGTGTCTGGTTGGTTTCACTCTGCCTGCACTATCCAAGTAGGCCATTTCTCCAAATAAAAGACTATTAAAACTCGTTAAAGGAAAGTAATGACAAACACAGGTGTTAAATGCGGTTTACCTGCTCTCATTATGTAAATTTGTTGTCTAACACTAACCAAATTAGCCGTTTCATTTAGTGGGACCTTCCGTTAGATGGTACTGAACGTATGAGAGATAAAATACTTTTGGACAAAAGTAAACAGCTATGTAAACCTTGCAGGAATTATGTGTTTGAGCCTAAACGTCTGTCTTTTTTTTATTCTTATCATGAATCTTGTAGCTTATTAGTTGATTAGGTATATAAATATGTTTAGAACTATCAAACAAAAATAAAGAAATTAATTTGACAAAATTTCCGATCTTCTGTGATAAAAAATAATATAAAATATACAGGGTGAGTCATTGAAAATAAATGCAAATATTTAGGCTCGATAAAAGAAGCATATTTTCCAAGTCCAAGTCCAAAATAACCGAAATATCTTTCTTTGAAAATCTAAAAAAATGGATTTTTCGCTTAAATTTTGAAAACTACTCTATCTTTTCTGAGTTTTCTCTTCCTTGTAAATTTAATGAACTATGTTGCATTATTATGAAGAAAAATTTCTAAAAAAAAATTCAAAAAATTTCTAAATTTCAATTTTTTTCGTGAAAAAAAAAACTCATAGACGTGTTTCTTGGGCACTTATTTAAGAGCAGAATATTAAAATTAATCTTAAATTTTATTCAAAAATACACAATCATGAAAAATTATTTTTGATTTGCTTCCTGTTGGTGGGATCCATAGATTTAGGAAGAACAGATATCACATTATGCATTTTAACCCGATCAAACATTCGGAGGTTGACTACGTACTGTAAAAATCAACTGAGATAGAGAAGGCGACGTTGCCACATATCAAATTTGCGCCTATCTACTTTGTTTGATTTGCAGAAAAGGTGACTTTAAAACCTTCACCGGATATCAATAAATCTCAATTTCTTAATTAAATTAATAGTTTATTTTTAAAGAAGCATGCGTAATAATATGTTATTAACCAGATATGCGTTACTATTAAAAGACATGTTTACTGTTTAATGTGCTGAAACGTCTAGAACTGCTGGCAACGTCGCTGCTAGTCTTCCAGAATGAAATGAGCCGTCCGTCCCACCACCCCTCGCGACGGCCTATGGTCCGTTATAGCGTACTACGTTTAGCTTACGGTGTGTTTGAAGTCGGAATCAAGTCCGAAGTGAACTTTTCAGTGTTTTTCAGTAGTTTTTGTTTTTGTTTAATGTACTTTTGAATCTGCGAATTTTCAATATGGTACGACAGTGCCAAATGTGTGGACAAATAAGCTCAAATTACCCGAATTTGTCTTTTCACAGGTAGGTATTGTTTCCGCCACGCCGTAATCGTACATAGGCGTCCCACAAGGGAGCCTCTCACAATTAAATTAATTTCTAATTATATTTGTTGAATTTTGATCTATTAAAACAAGAACGTAGTAGCCGGTAATTCGAATTATAATTAATTCGTCTCAATTACTACCTAACTGTTGTAGATCATAAAAAAATTGAATATAAACGTTACATTTGAAACTTTATTATAAGCCAGAAAGTGACATTTTTTTCTTAAAATTGCGTCCTATTTTGGTCATTATATACGATATTCTAAAGGAATTTTGCTCAATAAATAAACAAAGGTGTTTACCCGACCTTTTTTACATTTTATTGCTTTATTATATCTGCCCCTTCGGCATTGTTTAGACAATTTTTTACCACCGTACAAATACATCTTCCTAGAGTTACTAATTAGGTACTAATTTTGAACAGTTCTTTTTAAGATAAAAAAAGGTAAAACTAAAACCTAAACTATCATTTGAGATTAAACGGGAAGTTCTAAATAATGTTGCCTATTCTAAACAAGAAAAAATTATTTATAAGTTAAGTTTTATAACATTCCTAATTAAATTTGGGCGAAAAGAATATTTCTGTTTGCTGTAGGTAATTTTCTCAGGGAAAATACGTAAATAAAAATGACTTTTTAAGTCAAAAAAGTCAAAAGGATAAGTTATTCCAAAAAAGGACTGTCCTTTTCAAAAAAGGACAAGTGGCAACCCTAGGTATTTCTGGCATGGAAATTTAATGGCAAATCTACAACTTTGGTTCGAAAATATGTTCCGGCCACCTATGTTTACAAAAATGTCTAAAATGTGCCTAAATGCCTCCATATTCTGAAAAAAAAATTGAAAGAAAAGTTACCAACCACAAACCTAATATAGAACTGTTTCGGAAGCCTGAGTCACCCTGTAAATATTCAAAAGTAACTGAAAGTTTATATAGAAGTAACTGAAAGTTTAAATTGAAAATCGACGTTGGAGTGATTTTCGAAAACTACTAACGTTTCAACATAAGTATATGTGGGATATTAATTGTATTATTATATTAGACCTTATAACAAAACTCATCTGACGAAAAAGCGTTAATGTAGTATATTAATATGGAGTAAAAATTTTACTAATTACTTTACTTTTACTTTACTAATTAAATTCGTTCCAAAAAACGATACGCCACTGGCCATTAGAACAATCCCAAATGCGCCTAGTTGCCGGGGTCGGAAATTTTAGACTTCTCTGTCTCTTCTGTCCTTGTTTGACACATTGGAATGTTTGATACACTACCAACGAGTAT